TTCTTTCGGAAATCGAACAAGAATTAGTAACATCCCGCGACACAATTCATGCTGCATTGGCACATAATCCAACCGCACTGTCAATATGGAAAGCACTTGAACAAGGATATATGTAATCAACCCGCTCAGCACTACATGCAAATCACTAATTATTGTCTAGTCATTAGCATCTTATTCAAGATCGGTACAAGCTACGCGACCTGTCCTTATGTTGACCGATATTGACATTATCTGTGTGAATTAGGAATTAAACATGATTTGAGAGACAATCAGAATGGAGGATATAACTTAATCACTGTTCGTATATTTAGCATTATGTATATATCAATGTAGAGAATTAAACACGGTCATACTCTCTTGTCTATGAGAAGGTATGGGATATCCTTCAACCAGCATTAGGAGAACTCAGAGAAAGAAAAATCGGATTGTTCTCTAGAGAAATAATCCTAATAACAATAATCGGATGGAGAGAATGCCGGTTTTCTAATATAAAAAAAAATCGAACACATACTCGTAGGCACGTATTCAAAACTGCTACAAATTATAAGCCTAAGAGGCCAGTTCCGAGTTTGAACCGGTCAACTGTGGAGACTGAGAACCATGCCACTGTTGAGACTGAATTATATTATTCAATAGCTCCGCTCTTCCGATTAGAGAGAGGGAGTATCGGAACCGTAAGTATGTATTGGCTCCTGTTGGTCAACATCAGGAAAGTTGGCAAATGCTACAGAGGCTATATAGCGTCCATAGACACAGTAGCCTCTGTAATTTATGTACACTATGGTAGTCTCCATAGATTCCCTAGAAGTCTGGTGATTTTGCGCTATGCTAGCAGCTGCGGGTGCTATGAATAACTATATAGAGTCTCTAGCTCCAGTAGCCTCAATAGTGCTATGTTTATTTACTAATTTTCCAATTTAATATCCGTAATTTTTGTGCAGGATTAGGTAGTAAATGTGTAAAATTGATATATAATGTAGCTAAACACAAGAGGAACTAATAGTAACTTCTACATTTGTGGATCAGATAGAACAAGTAAAACCGCAATCTTCAGCAACAACACAAGCAGGTATGTAAGGCTGAAGCAAAAACATAAGGCAAATAAATCTCAGGGGGTAACCATGATCTCATCGAACCCTATATGCCGTCCTGCATAATGAGCCCAGAATTAGGACACATCTTTTGAGAGAGATAAAACATACCTATTGATTGTACAGGATGATGCGGCGGCGGCTGTTGCGAAGTCTCTATCTGTTTATCAGTATCATTTTGGTACCTATAACTTAGAATGCAACTGGCATGATTGTGTTAGCTAGCAGATAGTGAAAATGTTGAATTACGTACCCTAAAGTCCGTTCGGAAGTTTCCTCAGCATGTCTTAACGCCCGGTTACTTCTCCTAAAACATAGTCATCAACCAATAATAACTGAGATGAAGCAACTTGGATAGTGTGTTCGTCGTCAGCTGACAGACCCAAAGGTCAGTATTGGATGAACTCACTAATGGTCAACGATGGAAAGTGGTGGATAATGAATCCTAGAGCGAGTTCAACATCATTTTAACAGTCTCTACACAATTGATAACGTTACCGTACGGTGGATTCGTTCAAAGAGAGGGAATGAATGGCCTTGATGCCGTAAAGAGAGGATGAGTGGTAGTGGCACGATACTAAGCTGCAATGTGTCATCTGACGCTCATATTTGTTCAAACCAGCGGAGTTCGTTCTGAATGGCGTAGCGAGAGTTAGCAACGATAGTGACCTGTTATTTTCCGTAGACATTTCGTAGCCTGTGTAGTTCTACGGAAAAATTAGGCGCCTTTACCCGTTTTCCTGATGAAGGGCACAAGCAGCGCCTTTTCGGCACAACTTCTGATGTCTCCCTCTCCCTCCTGCTCGCGCTCACCATCTAATGGAACATGTAACTCCGAAACTTGCCAATTGAAAAGACTTCGGCACAGATAGTCTGCTGAACTGCTTTGTTATCGCAACTAAGTACTTGTGTCCAAGTTCGAGACCATCCATCACGAACTATCCATTCAATTTACTCAGGCTGGCTGGGGTAAGGAGGGGCTTAATCTCTTCCATGGGCAATAAAGAAGATAGTCTGTCATCATGTGGATAGGTTGAACAGCATAATTGCTGTGTTCGATAATTTACTTTACCAACCCACATGGTGTTCCATGGGACTCAGTCTGTTTGCAGAATAGCTCCGAATAACAAGAGGAGGGCTGGCAATCCAGCTCAGTCATATAAAACCAAAATCTCTTACTCTGAACGACTGCA